GTAGTTTCCTACTGAGATATTATTCATTTATTCTCGACATCACACAGCATAAATACTAAGAGTTATGAATTAATCATTGATTATACTCAATTAACTCGAATTCACACACTATACAAAACAATGTATGTTGCCAACATGAGTAAGATTTGTTTTATACTAAAACTATATTTGTTAAGGACGGTAGTGTCTACACGAAGCCGATAAAAGTGATTGTACACACCTTTTTTTTCACAAGGTTATCAATGAAAACTAATATTGACCAAATTGATTCAAATATGTAATCTCTCTTGACAGGTAGCTGTTTCAAGTAATATCGAATGCCAGAAGATTATTCTACATCATTAATAAAAATAAAAACTCAACATATAAGCAAAAGTTACTTCAATGTTGGAATAATCCAATTAATAAAACTAATCTATTCACGTCTTCTACAAGATGTTTCTTTTTTTCTCGAATATATGACTTTTGTATGACAGAAAAATAAAACATGCATAAAATTGCGGTTGTCACAATAACTACAACCCTAACAAACTTATACATATGCAAAGTTTACCAAGACAAAAAATACACTTTTTGAAATGAATAAGAATAATTTAAACTTTCATTATTTGTTTTTAGTAACGGGTTATTTCTAACACAAAAAAAAGATTGAGAAAAAAATCTGTTTTTATAAACTTATTAATGAATGAATTGTATCGCAAGTTAAAGTATAGATGAAGCATAAGAAATTTCTCTTTTCGAGAATCCACGCAATCCTACACGTAATCAATGATTAATTTTCTTTTAGTCCGTCGCCAAATCAGTATGTTTGATACAAAAACACCAATGACAACGATTGACAGAGTAGTTTTTTTAAGTACTTAAATGTCATTTACAGAGTCTGTAGTAATATTACGCAATTACTCTTGCGCAATGTTACGTAATCGTAGAAAAATACACTATCTAACATTTTCAATGATAAAAATGCGGAAATTAAGAGAAAAGTTGTGGATGGAATTCGTTTTTGTTCTTTTTCTTCATCAGTTCTGTTCGAATTACGCAATTACTTCAGATGATTCATATTTTTGCGTGCAGATTTTTCTTTCTTTTCTGCTGGATATTTCCTTGTTCTACGATAGAGGAAGACTATAAATACCCGACAAACTTCACTATCATTATTCTTTCTTGTATTGAAGACATACACACAAGTTTATTCTCTTTTCAATATAGATTGTTATATATAATTAACTATGGCTGCGCGATTCAAATCAGCTATTTCCTCAATAAAACGTTCCAATTTTGGTGGACTAAAAGATACTATTCGTTCTCATATTCCTAATACTAATAACGATGCTTCTTACATGTCAAATGAATATATTCATGCAAGTTTCTTCAATGACGACAACTTTTTATCGATTATCAAATGTCTTGATGGTGGCTATGAAATCAGCAAAGATTGTATAGAATATATGGAAAATTATCTCGAACTTCTACAAGAATTTATTGATAGTCTTTATTCATATTCAAAAAAATGGAGAACGAAAATAAACCAACAATCATCGGTTTCATCTTATCATACTACTAAACTTGCACAACGTGACACTGTTTCTACACCTAAACGACGTGCCGAAATCTTACAAAAACAATATGATGCTATTTTGAAAGTTATTACTACATATCGTACACAAGTCGATCGAATGTATCCAAATGATCGTGTAGGTACTACTCGTAAACATCATCGTACCGAAGCAATGAAAAATTTATTTAAAGAAGCAAGTTCAGCATTATGTAAATTATCAAGTAAACTTGAAAAGTTACATGAACAAGAAAAAAAAGCAAAAGATACTCTTCATAATGCTAATGTTCAATGTGAAAATCTTAGTTTCGAGCCAACAGCAAGTAAAACCAAAATTTCAGCTGCAAAAGATAATCAAAGTAAACGACAAGATAAATTAGATGAAATTCAACGAGAAATCGAACGAACCGAAGAAGAATATAATCAAGAATATGAAAATTATCGTTCAAAAGCAATGAATATCTATGAAAAATGTCGAGCATTAGAAAAAGAACGTTTAGATTTACTTGGTGAAACGTTAATTCAATTCAATAATGCAGCATTTTCATCAGAATATTCAAATGAAGAACATGAAATTTACGAAGATCTGATGTTAAAACTTAAAGTTGAACGAGATTCTTTGAAAGATCTTGATTTTTGGGCTAAAACTTATCATGTCTATGATTCAACAACATCTTTATCATCCGAAAAAAGTCATAATGAAAGTATCTCATCTCAAACAACTACTCGGAAAACAAAAGAATCTCACAAAAATGAAACAGAGGACCTCACAACTAAAGAAGAAACTACACCAGAATCAGTTGCTGAAGTTGAAGAAGAACAATCCCAAGCAGATACAATAACAACAACTTCAACAAAAACTAAATCAAAAAAAACCAAAAATAATACTAAAACTGAATCAACTACAACTAATACTACGGAATCCATTCAAGTATAATAAACAAAAAGTGGTTATGATTTAAATAGGAAAAAAATGCAATTTAGATTATTATTTTCTTTTGTAATTTTTAGTCATGAATTTATAAATTTTTTGTACAGTAACTGTTTATTTTCAATCTTCTCATCTTGTGGCAAACTCAGCACTTCAGATTTTTGTGATAATAGGAATGTTATTTTTCGTTATATGATCAATAAAATTTATCTTGTTTTAAAAATGAATTTTCACATTTTTTTTTTCAATTAGGCATATTCTTAGAGATAAAATATTAATTATATTTTTAAATACAATAAAATCTAATTTTCTAATTTAAATTAAAATATAACTTAAATTTATTATTTGAAAATAACTATCTTCGAAAAATAATCTAATAAAAGAAAAAATTCTATTCAAAAAACTTATAATGATGTAATTCCATTACAGTCTTGCGTCAGTCATAATATGCTATAGTTATTTCTACTAAATAGTTGGATGATTCATCCTGATGACATCAATAATTAGAAAACTGATTCAGATTTGCATTGATCTTTATAAGTTAATCATGATGACGTATTGTACTGCTGTCAAATTCTTTTATACGTAAGAAACTTTACTATATTCAATTTGTATCCTTGGTATGATAATAAAATATAAATAAGAGAAAATTTGTGATAATGAAGTGTTAAAATAAAATTATCGTGCAGATTTTTTTTCCATACATGGAAATAAACATTCAACTACAGATTTTAATATAACCTTGATGTGTATAATAGAAAAACCTATAGTCTTCATACATATTCGATGGTAAATAAAGAGAAGTTTTCAATTATAAAATATTGTTAAATCTAATTGGAAATCTACATTCGAAAAAGGTATGACACTTCGTGTATACTTTTCTTTTCTGAGCGTTCAATTTTTATATTTATGTGAGGAGAAATCAAATTTAGCAATATCTGTCAATTTTTAGCTTTCGTCAGAAAGAAAAAGTTTAAATAAATTTATTCTATCACAAAACAAAAAAAAAATTAGTTCATTTAATAAAAATACGATGACACTAGCTAAAATTCATTTTGTATTATTATATTTCTTCAGATAGTCTACGTAGACAAAAAAAATCTAAATTTGTTTAAAAATATCTTTTTATTTCTAATTTCGATATGAAAACTATCAATGTATGCATCAAATTCGATAAGAAAAATTTCAACAGACTCGATTGGAACTTTAAAAATCAGTCCACGGAGTGTAAATTTAGTAAAAAGAAATTGTCTTCATAGATAGTTAATCTTGCTCTATTAGTCCAAATTAGTCATAAGGATTAACTCTCATCTTATTTTATTAAATGACTCACACCTTGTTCATGCAAAAGTTGATCGAATTTGTCAGTTTTATTCATGGAAGAGTTAATAATTTCTTGGTAGATTATTTTTATTATTCCAATTTTTACGTGTTTATTCTGAATTCTGTTTTGTCTTGTGTATTGACTCGCCCTTGATTGGAGAGAGTTGAAACCAATTAAAGCAAATAATGAAATTTTCGAAAAAATTGTGCATTGGTAGTACACGACGAGTCGTCGTGACGACGACTTATCGAAGTTCTGTGTTTTATTCAAAATTCAATCCATTAAATGTCAAATTATCAAAACATGAAAGCTCATATTTCATGAGTGTTCATCACAAAATTGAATTAATCCAGCTCATAGAGAATTCTTGTTGATCAATGTATTCATCGTTATCTATTTATTATTTTCTACATATATTTTATTATTTTATTACTTATGCAAGTTTTACAAATTTTACTCTTCTATCTAAAGTTTGAATTCTATTGTTCTGGACCTTTCGAGATCAATATTTTCAAATAAACTATGCAATGTAGACTACGAAAATGAAAGGAAAGTTTTCGAATTATTTCTATATTGAAGATCAATATTAAAAAACATTATTGGTTATTTTCGACATGGAGAATTCTATTCAATTTTTTTCCTTGAACAGTTGATCTTGTCGTAAATGATGATTCATTGGACATGATTCTTACAAATATTTCAATAAAGACTTTCTTATGCAATTACAAAGATTATTCTCGTTTTTTTTTCAATTCAAAGTTCATTGGTTTATTCTAAGTGAGTTATTTTTTTTATTTAGTAAATCAATAAGTAAGTGAAAAAAAGTTGCTACCGGAAGAAGAAGAGTGGGTTTTTTTTACTTCTCTTCCCTATTGTTTTTTCTGTTCTATTCTATGAATCGAAATTCTTTTTCGGTGAATCAATGCATCTATCGAATATAATTTTCATCTTCTAGTAGGGTTTATTCCATGTAATTCAAAGAAAAGATGTCTTTTTTTCCGCCTACTCTTTCTCTTGATTTCGATCTATATATATATGTGTGTAATACTTCAACACTACTCATTCATTTCATTTTACAACTTATTCTTAAGTTTTTGCTTAATTCTTTTTATCTCATATTCTAAAACATTTTTCAAAAGTCATTTTACTCTTCACACTTCGTTCCGATGCAACGCACAACAATCAATCTTATGTCCTGTGTAGGATATGCAGGTAGCCTTACTTCTCATTCTTTGCCTATTGGCAATAGAAACAATAATACACGTCGTCGACACAAGGAAAAAAACTTTTTTCATGCTGACAATTACAAATTAATTCTCAAATGTCTTGATGATGGTAAGTTTTCTTAATTATTAATTTACTTTGATTTTTATTACATCGTTCTTTTTTTTCTCTTTATTAGGTTATAACATTTCCACGGATTTAATTGAATATATGCAAGATTATTGTAATCTTCTAAAACAACATATTGATCATCTTAATACATATTCAAGAAAATGGAAATTAAAATTACAAGGACAATCATTATTGTCATCCTATCATACAACTAAACGTGCACAACTTGAAACAATTGGTACACCTGAACGACGAGCTGAATATTTGCAAAAACAATGGGAATTTATTCAAACAATTATTGCTACATATCGTGTACAAGTGGATCGAATGTATCCAAAGGAACGTTTTGGTACTAGTCATAAACATTGTCGTACGAATGCAAAGAAAATCTTATTTGAAGCTGCATATTCTTCATTAACCGAACTATCTAATAAACTTGAAAAATTACGTGAAAAAGAGCAAAGTGCACAACATGATCTTGATAATGTTAATGATCAATACGAAGATCTTATTGGTGATGAAACAATAAGCAAAAGTAAAATTACAAAAGCAAAAGATAAACAAGAAAAAATAAAAAATAAATTAGATCATATTAAACAAGACATTTTACGAACTAAAGAACAATATAAACAAGAAAAAGAAATTTATCGTACAAGAGCAACACAGATCTATGAAGAATGTCGAGAATTAGAACAACAACGGCTAGATTTAATTGGGGAAACGTTATTAAAATTCAATGAAGCAGCTTTTTCATCTAAATATTTAGCTGAACAACATGAAATTTATGAAGATCTTAAGTCAAAACTTGAAAATCAGCGAAATACTTTAAAAGATCTTGATTTTTGGGCACAAACATATGGTGTTTATGATTCAAAAATATCCTTAACACCTGCAATGAATCATAATGGTGATATTCATAGTCAAAATACCTCATCTCCAACTACTATTCGACGAACAACAACATCTCATGAAAATGAAACAGAGAATTCTACAATAATAGAAGAAAACGTAGAACAATCAATTGCTGAAGAGGAAAACGAACATTCAGAAGCAAATAATACAACCATTTCAACTAAAACTTAGGTAAAAAGAAAAAAAAACTTTAACTTCCACCGAAAACAATGATAATACTACAACAAATAATGTACCACCCAATCAGGTATCATAAATAAGATTAGTCATGTATTTTTTTTATTTTATTTTTTGTAAATCTGTTGCAGTCAAGAGTTTACAAATTTTTGTACAGTAACTGTATGTCTTCTTTTTCTCATATTGTAATGAACTTAGTACTTCAGAAAATTCTATTAATAAGAATGTTATTCTTTTAATATTTTCAATAAAATTGATCTGTCGTTTTAAAACAAAGTTTCACATTCTTTAATTTTATTGAAGTTATATAGATAAAATATGCATTGAGTTTTTTAAAATATTTAAATTTAATTTTCTGATAGAAATTCAATTTTCCGGACTGTAAATAATGGAAAAACTCAACTTTCATGTTTCGAATGATTCATTCCTTTGTTACACTTTCAAATACTAATCTAAATTAAAAAAATTTATTCCCACTTATAATGACGTAATTCAATTATAATCTTGCGTCAGTCATAAAATACTACAACTATTCATTGTAAGTTTACAGATGATTCACTCTGATGGCATCAACAATATGAAGTTTGATTCAAATTACAATTTTTCCTCTATGAGTTAATAGCGATGACGTGTTGTACTCCTGTCAATTTCTTCTAGACAAAAAAAAGCTTTATTATATTCTATTTATATAATTGAATTATATTGGAACATAAGCAAGAAAAAGAAACATGTGATGATGAAGTGTTAAAATAAAGTTATGTTTTAGATGTTGTTACAAACATAAGAATAAACATTTAACTACTTGTTCTAGTACAGCATAGTTGTGTGTAATATGAATACCTATGTTCTGCATTTATATTCAATCGTAAATAAACAGAAGTTTGCAATGATACAATATTGTTCTATCTAATTGAAAGTTTATATCCAAAAACAGGTTAGACTACGAATATATATATTTTTTGAAAGCTAAAGAAGCGTTCGGTTTTTATAATTACATGAGGGCAAAATCGAATTTAGGAATATTGCTAAGTTTTTAGCTTCAAAATTTTTCCTATGAAAAAATAAAGATATTATTTCATTTAATGAAAACATGATGACAATGTCTAAATTTCATTTTATAAAATCGTACTTGAAATGCTCTATACAGATCTGAAGGATATTAAATCTATTCGAAAATACTTTTTGTGTACTCAAAAAGTGAGTACATTCTAGAATCGGTCAGTATGTCCGTCCGGCCGGCCGTTTACACGATAACTTTCGAAAAGAGAGTCCGATCACGATGAAATTTTCTATACAGTTCAGTCTTTATAATATCTCGGTCGAGTTCGGAGATGAGAAGGATCGGCTGAGCCGTTCCTGAGTTATTGCAAAAATACTCATTTTTCCCTATGGGTGTGGGTGTGAGTGTGGGTGTGGGTGAGGGGTGTGGGTGTGAGTGTGGGTGTGGGTGAGGGATGTGGGGTGTGGATGTGTGGGTGTGGATGTGGGTGTGAATGTGGGTGTGGGGTGTGGGTGTGGGTGTGGATGTGGGTGGGGGTGGGTGGGGGTGGGTGGAGGTGTGGGTGTGAGTGTGGATTCCTGAATACGACGCAGACATCCACATCCACACCCATCCACACCCACACCTACACCCATACCCACACCCACACCCACCCACATCCACAGCCACACCCCACACCCACACCCACCCACACCCACACCGACATCGACACCCACACCCACACCCAACTGCTGCTTTTTGTCAAGATGGCGACATGTTTATAATACCTTGTAAACAGTGATACAAAACGCTTGATAGTTTGTGGTCTCGCGATAAAAAAATGTAGTGAGAAATACGAATCGTATACGTCATGCATGACACATGGCAACACCTGGCTGATGTGTTACGTTAGAAAAACATTGGGAGAGAGATATGAAGTAAATTAGGTTCACTAATAAACTGTATATTTCATTTTGACATAAATGAATTTCATGCGCAAGATGTTCCTACACTACGACAATGAAAGTAGGCTTCAATGAGTATCGTTAGTCTATAGTCAGAGTATAATACATCGTCGGGTCGTGCTTCAGCTCGATGAAACTCAAAATATTTGGATCAAACTTTTCCAAACAATAAATCTATTTTTTTGTCATTAGATTAAAACAATCGATGATCCTACTCCAGAAGAGAAAAACACTCATACGCTGATTAGTGCATTGAACGCAGTAATTAGTGTGAGTATGAGGGCGTGAGTGTCTCTATTCTGCAGTAATACTCCATGTTTCCCGAATCGCCTTTCATCAGAAAGTAAACTAAAGATATTCGAAATCACAAAAATGATGTTGACTTTTTGGTGAACGTTTGATCCAATCATTTTGAGTTTCATCCTAAAGTGTACAAGTATATATGCATTACATATTCCAATCGATGACTCATGCATATGTGGCTACAGACTATGTAAAGAATATAATTATACATAAATTACACGTAAATACTATACCTTTTATTCATTGCGAGAGGTAAACATATAAAAGCATAAACACTTTAGAAAAAAAGTATAACAGCAGAAGAAAAGTACTCATAATAAATGGCATCGAACAAAGTAATATTGGATGTTGGCGGTGAAAAATATACGACAAGTGTTGACACACTGACAGCACGAGAAAAAAATACATTCTTTACGGAGCTCTTCGCGCGTCAATGGCAACTGGAGCGTGATCCCAAAGATGACAGTATTTTCATTGATCGCAACGGCAAACTCTTTGCTTACATTCTTGAATACTTGCGTACGGGTTCAGTACCAAATAGTGTGAAGAATGATGAATCACTTCGACAAAGTCTCGTCGTTGAAGCCGATTATTTTCGTCTGCAAAGTCTACAGAATATGTTAGCTAAGCCAACATTTCCAGGTACCACTTTGTTGGAAAGTTATCAGCATAAAGAGAAATTAAACGAATTTTATGGTACGCCTGATCAACAATGGGAGTTAATATATAAAGCGTCGCGTGACGGTTACGAAGCAAAACATTTTCACGCCAAGTGTAATGGAAAAGGACCGACGATGACTATTCTTCAATCAACTGACAAGTTTCTATTTGGTGGTTACACAACAGCTCCATGGTCTTCCGTGGTTTCTGTTAAGCGTGATCCTCAAGCATTTTTGTTTACTTTGATAAATCCTCACGATATTCCGCCTACGAAGTATCCAATCCATCCTGATAGAGCAAACGACGCGGTGTATCATTTCGAAAGTGCTGGGCCCTGCTTCGGCAAATACGGTGCGTCATGCGATGTGAGTGTGAGCAACTTCCCCAAGGACACCAGTTATCAAAATACTATATCATTTCCTGGAGCTTATATTGATACAACTGGCAAAGGAAAGCAAACTTTCACTGGAAAACCCATCTTCGGTCTATCCGACATTGAAATATTCAAGCTCGTTAATTAAAACCATCATTGTTCAACACATATTCTCAATTTAGGACATACGATTCTGACTGATCGCACTCAACCGACTGAATTTTCTTTCTAATTGCAATAAATTTGCTTCAGAGTATGCTTATTATTACATGTCTTGTAGACAAAATTTAAAGTAGAAGCTTAATACTTATTTTTAAATTGAGCGGCAAAAGTATAATCTTTCTGAATCTAAATGTCAAGAGAACATGACTCATCTGCCTTTGAATTTATTGTCAAAATACACGAGAGAAATAATGACATTGATGACTTGATGATACAGTACAACTTTCGAAAACTCAAAAAAGCACGGATAGATGCAGAGTTACATAGAAAACACGAATCCGACGTGAGCGTGAGAGTGTCGAATAAGTTAGTTTCATAAAAGAATAATTTCAAGCATCATACGACGCGTTTGCATTGTATATCGCGCTTTGAGTTTGTAGATGAAGTCCGTATTTACTTTTTGCAAAATCAGTGTGAAATGGTTATGTCAAGAGCACAATATTCTGACATGAGAAGATGAATCGAGATAGTATCAAACGACGGACATCCCTGTGTACAACATAGCACTAAGAAACACATTATTCTAACATGTCAAACTAATTAAGGTTAGAACAAGCGATGAATGTCCTTCTATGTGTCTTAGTCTCAAGGAGCATAACATTCGGACTTGACAAGCTAATCGAGTTTTCAACAAGAGATGAATGTCCTTTCTTATGGCATAGATGTGGGATATATTGTCCAGACGCAACTGAGCTTACGAAAAGTGACCGACATCCTTCCAAATGATACCCCTTAATATCGTTGAAGGATACATAACATTTTTCCATATCTGCTTCTCTTCCTTTTTCACTAGCTTTCCCATTTTTCTTTTTTCTCTCTATCTCTCTCTACGAGAATACAGTTTGAAGAAGTGAGAGTTAGAATAGAGTTCAATTTTAGTTGAGTCGAGTTCTAGTAGTAGTTTAGTTTGATTGAGTCGAAGCACATACATACAGAATTAGTGTGTACATATATAAATTTATTGTGTGTAGTTTGTTGTGGACAATACATACGTATAATTATAATAAGCAGAGTACTGCTGACTCATTTGTTTTTAAACTGATTCAAAATAAATTATCTTATTTGGATATTATCCAAATGGTCTTAGGTATACCGTTCACACACTTTTACGAATTGTTACCCATTGTCTCATCACGAATAGGAGATATATATATTGGATATATGCTTAATCAATTAATCAGTTACTAAAATTATAATTAAATCATTATATACATATATCCACAAATAAATTTGTTACACTAACGCTTTATATATTTTAGTCATCGGTACATTGATACTAGAGAGAATGGGTCTTAATGGAGTACCTTCCTAGAAAACATGATATGAATCTACTCTAGAAATAGTGTTTTATGTTTAGAATAAAACAATTAATTTATGTGGTTCAGATATAAAATATAAGTAAGCCAATTCAATTTTATTTTTATCTGGTATCATTTTAGTATATTGCCATTGTGTAATTTGTCGTTTTCTATGTAAATCATTTGATGCATGTATTACTTTATAAAATGTATCCATTAATGGATTAGATGGTAATTCTATATAAGCATTTGTTTTCATTTGATATTCTTTTACTTTTCTCTCATAATCAATAGCTGAACCAATATGAAAAACACCAGTTTTATCAGTTATACGTATGATATTATGTGTTTTACGTATCTTACGTTGGATTGACTGAATTAATTTCATATCATTCCGAATACGATGTATATCAAGATAGGGTTATGAACTTGCATATCTTTCAATGAAGATCGTTTCAAGACTATCAGAGAAATGTTTATTTTCTAGTGCTTTATGTGGTATACTATGACGATAATGAAGATCAGACTGAGATTTGTAAATTATCGTACTAAGTTCCTTTTGAGTTTTTTCTTGAAGTTTTGCCTTTGGATAAAGAAGATTTTGATTCAATTATATATAATTTGGTTCACCTATATAAAAAAAGAAAGAACCAATACATATGTATAGATAACATTTATAAGAAAACTTTTGTGAACTACCTTCCATATGAAAATTTCTTGCGTCTGAGCGCATGTAAGAACGCATTATAACTGCGTTTGAAACGTTACGAATGAAACGAGGTGTGGATGTGGGTGGGTGTGGGTGTAATCCCTCTACTCACACCCACCCACACCCACACTCTTTCGTATTTTTCGATCGGAAGGAAGTATTTACTAAGACTAAAAAGTAGTTTTTCGTGATCACCAACTCATGCTCTACCAAATGATGTAAAAAACGCAGAAAAATTTTTACTGAATATTTGCATTGCCAGCACCTTACATATCGGAACATGTGGTAAGCAGAACATGTCCCATCATATTCGGTTGAAGACGATATATACCAAAAAGTGCGTTCTCAGCGAAGTGTGACGTGGCATAGAGAATTACATGATTAAGAGATTGATAGGTGCATCAGATATTTTCGTAAATTAGAAAGAAAAAACGAAAGTTAATTTATGATTTACTTGAGTTTAGCATAAGTTTGTATCAAACAATCAAATGAAGCTAAATTTGAATATTCTTCTCGGTTCCATATAAACACATAGTGACCACATAGTAAAATATTATTCGAACATTTTTTTTATCAAATTAAGTAAAATTTGATTATTTTATCAGCAGAGAAAAGAAAAATGCGCAACATCAGTATTCATGTCACTAATATATGGGAATGGCCATTATGATTGTTTCCTTCTAAACCTATTACAATCATTAATGGGTATGAAGAGAAAAAAAGAAATTAGTCATTGGTTTTGCATTTACATCCCACTCTTTTATAGATTGGCATGTATATATGTAAATAACATAAGAAGCAAAAAAAAAGAGGAAATGTACGATACTAAAAGAAAACGGGCACCGATATCTGACATTTGTTTCCTTTTATCTTTTCTATGTATATTCTTCATCAAAGATAGCAACAGAAAGCAGAAGAAATTTCTAGTCCATATGATTTAACGTATATCTTATTGTTGTTTTTTTTTGCTGCTGTTCGTCGAGCTTCTAGCAGATGTTGTCTTCAGTAATTGAGTGCACGTGTTGCTGGCATTTTGTCTGTTTGACGAGCAATAAAAAACATCAAGAGAAACACAGACCACAGTATTTATCAGTTTTCAAGTATCTATACCGTCTTCTCGGTCGATCAACCTTGTTTTTCTTCTTTTTTTTCTGTTTCATTTACGGATAAGCAGATAATAAAAGGATAAGTTCTAATCGATTCTATTCAGTTGATAAACAAATATTACTTTAGATTGAATAACCAGAAAATCATTTTTCAATTATTTTTATTATTTTAATAATAATAATCATTGATAAAGAAAAAAAAATCAACATTATAGTTGAAAGTACTGGATAGAGATCAAAAATACAAAGTGAATATAGACAGACAAGAAATACATAAGTATCGAGACGTAGATTCTCCTGTTTAATATGTTAAGAAGAATAATCAGTGGGAAGAATATATATACAGGGTGGCTCATAAGTTGCCCGACACTCTTTTATTGCGAATAACTTTTGATAGGAACAAGATAGAGAGCTACGGCTTTCACCGTTCGAAAGAAGATATGTCACTGCATAGTTCCATATATCACTCACAGCATCATTCCTTAGTGTTCCACCTATAGCTTTGGAATGGCAGAAGATAAAAGTTTCGAGAATGAAGGTGTGGGCCTGAATTGTAGGTACGCAGGTTTCATGCACTTCATAGAATTGAACCTCTATGCCATCTTCATATGATATCACTACTTTTCCGAAAATCCGTGATTCACTATTTGATTATTATTCGAGACCATTGAGTAATACATGGAACTATGCAGTGACATATCCTCTTTCGAACAGTGAAAGCCGTAGTTCTCTATCTTGTTACTATCAAGAGTTATTCATAATAAAAGAGCGCCGAGTAATTTATGGATCACCCGGTATATTTTATGAGCAATCAATCTTATAATTGTGAAAACTTACGAATTTTCCAGGCACTATCGAATATGTATTGAGATTAAATATGAACTGCATGTGTTCTCACTGTTTAGAAATACTCTTTTAAACCACGAAAAGTTTTTCATAACAGGATTTCCATTTTGCTTTCTATCTTCTTTTGCTCGCTTTCAAGCGTTCAGTATAATAAAATAATTTAACTTTCATTCTCATAAACCTTGCAGAGAATCTATCTTTGACGGATGAAAAAAATGCTCAAGTTTATTCAAAAATTCTAGAATTGGATGATAAATGCTTATATAAAGAAAAATAAACCGCACTGGTACTATAGCAGCACTTTATCATTAATTAAAAAGGTTACGATTGGCTTAGCAATTGAGATATTCGTTGGATATGTTTTTTGGCTATCATCAATTATTCACCTTTGTTCTAGGTCTTTCCCGCTGGTATAATTTGTCTATTCATTTGATAATTTCATTTTATGACTATGGAATCTGAACAACGACTTTCGTCATCAGATGCAACAATCGTTGGTATTGTTGACAACATCAAAAAAAGTGCTAGTGATTCATGGAATTATCGTGGTCTAGAACTTTCAAATGAGATGCTTGTTGTACTTATAAGTCATCCAAATATTGATAAAGCTGCTGCTGCTCTTGATGTAACGATTGGTAGTTTAGCTGATCCAAGAGATGTTCCTGGCATTGCTCATTTTCTTGAACATATGCTTTTTATGGGTAGTTCAAAAGTATGTCTTTGTTTACAATAGAAGCCTGTAGGGTGTAATATTTTTTCAATCATTAACTTGCTCTATCATCATTTCGACGAACTGATCCTGACCTGTGATCGCAAGGACTTTCTTCTGTATTCTATAATGTAAAGTTCTTTTTGTAACGAATACAGTTGTCATGATATCACTATGGATGAAGAGTAATTGAAAATAAAAAAGATAAAGTAAAACTTCTCGATATGAATCCTGCCGGAAGTAAGTGTACATGTATTTGACATACAACTAGGTGTAGCAAAAGATTTTGCTCAAAAAGCATCTCTCGACTTGGACTCCTTCTTATGAGAGACAGGCAACTCTCGAGTTCGGCTTCTATTGCATAGATGAATCTATGTCTTTACTTCTTCGTTCCGATCATAAGTCATAACGATTGCCGATGTTATGCTGGCGATGTACTAGTCAGTCGCGTATAGATTTATTGATGCTGAGATCATTATATGCACAGCCACTATCGATTGCACAATTTGCTCGTTCTACTATTTCGATAAGTATATACTGAATTTCTCCAGGAGAAGCATTGAATTCTCAATGAACATAAGGTATGAAGAATATTCATAGTCGCTTTCGTTTTTGATATAACAAAAAAGAGGAAAGCTGGAACACTACATGAGTGTCGGACAAAAATGAGAGAAAGCATACTGGATCATTATAAGTTCGTTATTCTGATAACAGCTAAATTTACAAGAGAAGATCGTTTTAATCAAAGATAATTCCTTTTGGGAACATCTATAAATGATTTGATGTGATCCAAAATCTCTTCTAAGCATATCAGATTTCTAATTTCAATGGGCAATAATGAGCACTATTTTATAAAATTTTTTAGTATCCAGGTGAAAATGAATATTCAAAATTCATAGTAGGAAATGGTGGTTGTTCAAATGCTTTTACAAATGATGATCATACAAATTTTAATTTTGATATTAACCCAAGTTTATTACCCGATGCACTTGATATGTTAGTTTGATTGTTTATTTCCTTTCAATGAAATGAATATTTTTATTTGGTTTAGTTTTGCTCAATTTTTTATTTCACCACTCTTTGCTGCATCATCAATCGATCGTGAATTAGAAGCAGTTAATTCTGAATATGAAGCAAATTTATTTAAAGATACATGGCGTATTTCTCAATTAGAAAAATCTACATCGGATCCAAAACATCCATATTCAGGATTTTCTATTGGTAATACAGAATCATTAAGAATAATACCTAAACAACGTGGAATTGATATTCGACAAGTACTTTTGGATTTTCATAAAACTGAATATTCATCAAATCGAATGAGTTTAGCTGTACTTGGCAATCGTATGTTATCAATTTTTCAAATAAAAATAAAACTAATTTTGTTTTTAGAATCACTTGATGAACTTCAATCACTTGTTATTAAAAGTTTTAAAGAGGTACAAAATAAAAAACTGAAAAAACCAAAATATCCTTCTGATCCATATGATGAAAGCAAACGAAAAGTTTGTTTTGTTTTTATTAAACATACTTTTTTGGGATTTTGTTTTTTTTAAAGACAATTTGTTATCATGTTCCTGTGAACGAATCTCGTCAATTAACAATCAATTGGGTTATACCTGATCATAGAGAGTTATATTATTGCAAAGTACGTATAGATTACTTGACTACTTTATGTTAATCTTCATATATTGAATATCTCGATTATATTCAGCCTGAATCATATCTATCACATTTGATTGGACATCAAGGTGATGGTTCATTATTGTCATATTTAAAAACATTGGGCCTTGCTATTGAATTGATAGCTGGTGAAAGTAATTCTGCACCTGGATTTAATTTTTTTTCTATTGATATTCAACTAACTATTGAAGGATTAAGTAAATAGAGTGCAAAAATTAGTTAGAAATTTTGTTTTGTTAAAATTAGGTCAATGGAAACGAGTTCTTCATAGTGTTTATCAATATTTGGCTATGTTACGTAAGGAAGGACCAAAAGAATGGATTTTTAATGAAGGC